ATACATTTTCAATAACTGTTCGATTTTTAATTTAGGACTTGAACGATGAAGATAAAAGCCTAGCGACGCCAAATACTACAAAAGATGATAATGAATCCTAGCATCTACATTTCAGGGGTTGACCAGGTGAGCTGACCCATTCTAGAGTTCGTTTCCTGCAACTGCTCACACAGAATTTCTTTTCTTTTATTAGACTTTGAAATTCCATCAGAAAAGATATTTTCAATTGATCAACACTCCGTTTGGCCTGCAACAAAACGTCTTTGATTTTAAAATGAAATATTAGGATTAAAATGGCATTGCACGTGCTCGGCAGCAATTGAAATTTATATGTAATTCTAATTATATGTAATTCAATTAGAAAAAGTTGCAGTGAATTATAAAATTATATGTTAACTCATTTATCTAGCTTTTTTAATGCGAATACGAATATGCATTTCCAGCAACGCATCTTTATAGTCAAAAACATTTACATATTTAAAGGAAACAATTAACATTTCAGATTGGTAGAGCAATAAATGTACATTACCTTTATTAACTTCAAATTAATATATCTGTATATATATATCAATATCAATATCAATTTGTCAATATATCATATTGTAAAATTGTTATGTTATTTGATAGTTTTATAAAAAGTACAGCTGATTCTCTAATCCTGATGAAGGCTGACGATTAAGGCTTTCCGCCACAAGGAAAGCCAGTTTGTGGGCGTACTGGCAGACAGCTGGGACCCGTACAGTTCCAGAGAAATTGTAGTACATATGGGTCATCTTGTATGAGAGTATCTGCAGCCTATCGGCGCTTAGTCCCATGTTGTCATAAATTACATTGTAGCTGGTAGGCGACACGGTTCCTTGACGAACAGCCTGGGACACTAGGAAGAAGTCGTAGCGCTCTGGCAAGGTAATAACGTCATCAACCACTGTGCCCGGAACTGGATTGCGGTTGTTAGCGAAGTAGCGAGTATTAATGCGCTTGGATACAATGATAAATGCCATGCGACAGCCCTCGGTTTTCCCAGCTGATTTGTAAATTTCGTCGAGCTTGCCCTTTAGGATTTTCACCTCCGTATTCACTACCTGGTAAAGCTGGCCGTCACCAACACCGTCCCTGAAGAAAAGAATGCGCTCTGGCAAAGTACCGTGGTGCTCCCTGTACGTCTTCAGGGCGCACGTCATGTTCAGCGACATATGCTCGGACAACTCTTGGCCTTTCATATGTTCGTTTACCGAAGAGAAGTAGCGGTTTGACTCCTTCTGGTCCATGGTGGCAACCAGAGCTCCATATGACTTGTTCTTGTCTTTCGATGAATGACAGACATCGAAACCAACAGTCATCAGTCCATGGAGGGGGAGAGAGATCATCCAAGGAGCCCCCATCAATTTGGCGTTCATCTGAATAACCACCTTTGTTGCGATCGACATGAGCCCAGTTGCTTTTTCCTGTCGAGGCGCGATGACTTTTAGTGTCACCACTTGTGATGGCACTGGTCTGTCCACGCACGTGCGTTTTTTGATGCAGCTATATCTGTTGGGAAATTGGGAAAAGTATTTAGATCTGTCTCTGCTCATATTGCAATCCTAAGTACTTCTCTTCATTCGGAGATCTCATGACAACCATCACAATCTGGGGATCCTTGGCTACGGCGTTGTCGATCGCTTGGGAGTAAGTGCCGTTGCGGTCATCTCTAATTTCATCACTACGAGGAATGGAAAGTTTTATTAAGCATTTATAATAGTTAGTAATGCTTACTAGATAGGCTTAGAGATGTTCATCTTCATGGTGTTAGCTGCGCGGATGCACATCTGCACAAATTCCTGGGTCTCGCGAAGATTTCGACCCGGAGTTATCACGCACCACCTATTGATATCCACGTGTTGGTACATCGAAGAGCTGCGAAACTCACTGGTCCAATCAGCGCGAGCGTCACACACGAATTTTTTGTTGTTGCCGAATAATATTTTCTCCGCTGGCAAAACGCGAGCTGGAATCTCCACCAGGGCAGAGTCCAGCTCGATATTCCAGGACTTCAGGGTCTCTGTACTCTCTTTAGAGGACTTCAAGCGCCTGTTGAACATGCGCAGGCGTTCAATACGACGATCTGGAGTCAGTCTGGTATGCTCACTCATGGCCTTCATTAACCTGAGGATCATATGAAGAGGGTTTCGATCCATCCTATGGACTATTTTCCATTCCATTTAAATATACCTGAAGTCGGCGCGCATTGCATCTGTCATTCCTGTAGCCCGAGCCAGCTCGGGAATAATCATCAGAGGCTGATCATTGCCTCCACGAATGTTTTTCTCTGTGGGACGAGACACGACCAGAGGCTGCTTGAAGTCTCGAATGGTGATGTTGTATCGCTGAAATGTTTTTTCTTATAGAAAATTGAGAACGCTTCAGGTTTGGATATACCTTCTTGTAGTAATCCACATACGAAATGTCACCCTCTTTGGTATTAAATTTGGATAAGGGTGTCGATTTAAAGTCGACATCGTCAACGCGATAGGTTTTGTTATTATAATCCGTTAATATCACCATTCCTGTTATGGAGTATTTAAATTGTACTATACGAAATTGAGAAAATTGATATTAAACTCACCCATTACTGCACGTTTAAATGCAGTTTGATAGTCGTCATTGTCACGAACAGACTCGGATAAAATATTGTACAAGGTATCAGTTCTCATCACCTTGTGGGCTATCTCGGCGCAAAGTAATATATCACTCTCGTGTTGGCGAATCGAAGTCTGATAGCCAGGCCAAAGCTGCATACGGAAATTCTCCAAATTAATCTATATTTTTGTTATCACCAAAATAGAAGTTATTGATCAGATAGTCTTTTAAATGCGAGTTCAGAGGGCGAACCTTAGCTTGAGGATCAAAGAAATTGCGCGAGACCAACTGCAAGTTTAAGCCCTCCATGGCCCTGCGCAGTATGAGATTAAGAACCTGAAACTGCTGTGCATCAACCGCATCCACAGATCCAACAGCCTTGATCTTAATTTCAATGTTTTCACCAGCACGGCTCTTCGTCACAAGTTCCAGAGCATAGGGGCTATTCTGCACAGCTTGGAACTGATTGGTGCAGAACAAGATGGTTCCGTCGAAGATGTAGCCGCCGAGAAGGCTTCGATGTTCATGCATGAAAGCCCGCCGCAATCGTGTATTGTCCACGTCGGGCGTGAAATCTACGCGGTACTGGTAGATAGTCCAGTTTGGACGCTTTAATACCTTAAAATAGTTTGTTTGTACAGTAATCCTGTTGCCAGACACTCCGTTCTTGGTGGTCATCCCTTGAGGACGAGAATGCACCACATCCGTAATTAGCCTACGGCCGCGCATGGAGCCACGCGGATCTCCTAATTCCAATTAATTCGAAGATCCCATTAAAAGAAGGTGAAGAAAGTTATATAAATCCACTCACCTTCGGACATGCGTACTTGCACGTCGCTCAACTTGGTTTTCTCCACTTGAGCATCACCAGTGCCTCCGGATGATTCATTCCCTGCCAATAGGGAAGAGTGCGGCGCTTGACCCTGCGAATGAGTTGGTTTATTTTGTAATTTAATTACTCATTTTGTAAGTGTTATTTGATGAATATTTATTTGTTATTGAATAGTTATTTGAGTCTATATCTCTGGAAGCTGCATGCGTAATCTCAACATACTAGATTTTGAAGTTCCTGAGATCGAGGCGTTCATACGGACATGCCCAGATCAACTCGAGTATTGAATGTGCTCGTTCTGTTGTTTCGTTCATCTTTTGGAAAATTATCCCCAAGCTTGTTTTTTTTTTTTAACCAAAACAATAAAACAAGGACAGCTGGTTCAGCAGTTTGTATCATGTTTTTATGTGCTAACAGCAATATGATCTCCATAGTCATCAATTTCTTCCGCAATGCAAGCTTTTAACAGAAAGATTCAGATAACGGATACATCAAAAAAACAAAAAAAAACAAAAAAATTTCAACATATAAAACAAACTTGTGTTAAGGCGCAACTGGTTAAATTAACTTGCATATTTTTATTTTTGATTGCGTAGCAAGTACTCATTTGTATTATTCATTTATGCACATTGTGTATGAAAATATATACATACGTACATATATAAATGATAACATTCATAAATATGTATGTGTCTATGTACATACATATGTATGTACGTGCATCAAAGCAAGTCTTTTCATGAATGGTTGTAAAAATATGCAAACATATACCATGCATGTAAAAACATACATACATATGTACATTTAAGCATCAGATAAGCTTTAATAATAAAAAGTGCTGATCTAGTGTCGAGATCAAAATGGGATGCACTATAAAAAAGGACAAACTAATTTTCAAATTGGCAAAAAAAATAAACATTATTTCTTACAAGTTGAGGAGCCAAGCCGCGATTCGCCTCTTCATTGCGCTTGCTTCCACGCCCCCGTCCACGAGCAGTACCTGGGTTTGGTGGTAAATTCATCTTTAAACTAATATGTTTAGTTCTTTTTTAGTTTACTTGCGTATTTCACTCTCTTATAAAATTCGCGATCCACGCGCCACAAATACCGATCTATGAATGAAAAAACGGAAATGAACGGAACATTTGAAGACGCCCAGGGCTGGAACTCATGCCAATTATTCCTGCGGTTATCGGTCGTGCTTATGCCGATAAATTCAAGATCTCCGGACACATTTGCAGATGTAGCTTTTAAGATGCTTATTTTTGCTTTTTATATATATGATTTAATTATCTTTTATCTTTTTATCTAGAAAACAAAATGTCTTATTAAAATTTTAATACAGCTTTATTATGTACTTAAGTGCAATAAACGTAATGATGCAGTCGTATTTTAAATGGAATTTTAATACACTAACTATAATTTGTATAATTGATTCAACAGTAACTTGCAAAGGTATTAGCAAATAAGTCGAAAATGCCGTCCTCTTAATTAAAAACAAACTTTTGGGTACTTTAAATTATTTACTGATAAATTCGAAATCGTTTTACCAATAAATAAAGCCTTATTTACAAGTCTCGCACTCATTCACTCTATTTGCCTAAGATAACGTTATGGACATAATACAAATATTAACTACCTGCTGCTTGCAATAAAAGATGTTTCCCTTCCGAGAGTATAAAAGCCGGTAGATTCCATTCAAACATTTCAGTTAGTCCTAAAACATGATCATGTGTATCAAAGCGTCTTTCGGTTTCATAATCGTAGCTCTGATTTTGGGATGTGCAAATGCACAGACGTGTACGCCGCCTTTTAGTCAAGTTGGAAACAAGTGCTACCACGTAGTCTTACAAAAGGTGGACCTAATATAAGTAACTTGTATGATATTTCAATATAACAATATTGTTTCAGGCCAACTGGCATGTCGCCGACCGCACCTGTCGAAAACTTGGTGCCGAACTAATGGTGCTTGACAATCAAGAGGACAAACTCCTTACAACGGAATTCCTGAAGAGTATAGGGCTTTCCTTCACCCAAAACTGGCATCATTCCGTTTGGGCTGGCATCAATTGCTTGGGTAACCGGCGTACCTTCCTTCTCGCGAAGAACGGCGATGCTGTGCCGTACCTAAACTGGGTGCCCCGGGAGCCAAACAACGCTTCTCCCGAAGAGGATTGTGTGGGATTCGCCAACTACAACGGAGCTTTTGGATATCACGATATTGAGTGCAAGGTTCAGTTTCCATTTGTGTGCCAGAGGGAACCTGCAGCGAACTATCTCTGTCTTAAGCGGGATGTCTTCATTGAGATCCTTTTGTAGGGCATTCAATTTCAAGTTATCACGAATTTACAAATGAACCTCGCAAATGAATAAATGTGAATTTCAAAAAAATATCACTTTTGAGTAATAGCTATTTTTTGTTGAGCATTCCGATAAGATCAGAATACATTAATTTACAGAAGTTTTCAGACACTAAATTACTTATTGAAAGTTTCGGCCGTTGGTTTTTTATTAACATTTTAGGTTGAAACACATTCTAAAAGTCTAAGACTCTAGCTTCACAACGGTCGTCTTCTCGGACACGTACAGACCGTCAAGGAATTTACGGATATCCTTGTTCTTGACGGTTGTAGACTGCTGGATGAGAGCGGCAGATCCGGAGACAGACTCAATATCATTTCCCTCCACGATAAGCTCGTCCTTCTGGGCAGTAGAGTTCACCACGGTGACGCCAGCAGCCATCTCCACACGACGAATGTACTTCTCGCCCAAGAAGTTACGGATTTCAATGACCGTGTTGTTCTCGGAGGTGACACAGTTGATGGGGAAATGGGCGTACACAGCACGCATCTTGTACTGGAATCCGAACGTGACTCCTAGAGAGAGAAAAATTTCAATTAGTTAAGTGGTAGTTTAGATAAAAATTATCTTTAGGAACTTAATGCCGAATCTATTTGGCAACCACATATTTAGTGTTTTTGTGTAGAGTGTGTACTTAAAGTATTTTTAAGTCATTTTTGAGAAAGTGGATCCATATTAATAGATCTCAGTATTTAACAAAGGGTTATCCTCGTAAATGGACAGACTTTCAGGGTTTGAATTGTCGTGTGGTTGGCCAATCGAGGCATTTGTTTCTCCTAGCACTACGCACCCTTGATCATGTTCTCGATGTGACTGCAGACGGTACGGACGGCGGCCAGCTCCTTCTTGGTACCGAACCACTTCTCCACCTTCAGGGTGCGCTTGTCGGGCATGTACATGTCCAGGGCCAAGTGCTTGAAGCTGCGCTTCAGGGTGCCGCGGGTGCCGGTGATGGTCACCACACGGGCCTTCACCGAGGCCTTGATATCCTTGGGGATCTTCACGCACTGGTTGGAATTGATGGTACGCATTTTGATGACACTGTCGGCAAAAACAAGATATTAGTTTATCAGCTACAAGTGCTTGTAAAAGAGTATTCCAAACACCGAATCGCAGTTTACTTCTTGCACCCAAAACGTGCGTTAGCTATTGTTTTGCATTTGTTTAGGGAGTATTCATTCCAGCGGATGTGGTAAAACGGCGGCTCTTCAGTGCCACACGCCAATTGCCATTTCAATGGATCGCTCGATTCGATGTTTTGGAACACTTTTTCACACAAAACTTACGCTCCGTTAGTCCCTCGTTTGTATGACACAAATTCTGGATGGACTCCTCGCTGCAAGTGGTGGTTTTAAGGATATTTTGGGTTAAAATTTCAATAAAAATATAACGCGGAACACACTGCTCACCGGAAACGGGGAAAAGAAAAGAAGGGAAATTTAATGTGGCCGTGTGAGGCGCACAAAATGTGCTAAATTTTGCGCGCCATGTGCCGTCGATGTGCTGTTAACGCGTCGCATTGTGCTGTTAAGCGCGGATGTTAATGTGTATATTCTTGTATATTTTCATGAAATATTATTCAAAGAAAAGACTAAAATCAAGTTTAAGCGGTAAAGCGTTTCCAATCATTATTCTTGAAGCTTTTCGAAAAGCTTTGCAAGTGTGAATTAAATGAGAATTATTGGTATAACCTGTTGCTCTCAACAGAAAAAAATTGCGTATTTTTATCTTTTCATTTCCAAAAAAAGTATCTACCATGAAAAGCTTTTTTATTGAACTTATATAATTATAGCTCCTGTTCATATAAAATGATTTACACCGTTTTTGAAGATAATCAGAATTACTGAAGGCCAACGAATATCCCAAATAAATCAGATGTGATGGGTAGCATTGGTTGTCAAAACAATGCTCTAATTAAATTTTCGTCTCATTATGAACGAGCGCTGCTTTATCTCACAATATGCACCACGAATTGAAATCTCTATTAAATTGTTATTATTTATATACATGTTTTCAAATTAGTGATTAAATATGCAAAAGTTCCTAAGTACATAAACGCAATGTTATCAAGTGTTTTAAAATAGCCTCCCTAAAAACAATCGATAGGCACGGTATTTATGAGAAATATGGCAGAAGTATTCGGCGAACGTGAATACATTACAGCATTTGGTAACACTTTGCAGAAGGCGGGAGCGTGGGTACATTGAGCATCAGCCGGCGGCCGAAACTGCAGATTTAGTTTATAATCATATCTCGAAACAGTGGTCTAACGGCATTTTAAGTTTCCATTGCACCCGAGTTTGCCCGCCCTAGCATAGCTCTCTGCACGATGACTGCTCCGCAAGCACAGCTCGACTTTTTCGCGACGGCGGGAAGTATGCTGGAATGGCATGACAATCTGGACAGAAACAAGCCGGGTCTGCTGGAAGTATGTATTGGATACGGATATTTAGCAGCTTCTTCATGTCTAAGTATGCTTTCTTCCTAGTTGACCGGCGTTAGCCAGCATGGACGGGCCACGATGAGTGGACTGAATGACTACGATTACCAGACTCTGTCATTCCTTAAATCGGATGGAACACATAACCTACAACAACTGCGAACGGTGACCAAGTCGGCCATTCCCAACGAGATTCTGGAGCACTTCAAGCGTACGTAGCCTGAGAATCATTCCATAGAAATATCCGCTGTAATCTGCGATCCTCCATTTTGCAGACATAAAATGCCACTGTACCATGGGCCTCTTTCCGGAGATCGGACGCGCCTGGTTGACCATCGATTCGGAGATTTACATCTGGACCTTCAATCAGGCAAGGGATGTGGCATACTACGATGGTCTGAGCCATCTGATCGTAAGCGTTGGCCTGGTGAAACCAAAACCCGGCGTCTTTGTAGAGGATGTCAAGTACCTCCTGCTCCTCACCACGCCCATTGAGGTTATTGTCCTGGGCGTAACCTTCGGTGAGAGCTCGGACAACGAAATGCAGCTGATGAACCGGCCCATTTTTGTGATTGGCACCGACAACGTGTCCATCAGCGTCATCAAAGGAACGGACGACGGCCGCATCTTTTTGGGCGGCCGTGATGGGTGCCTCTATGAGGTATACTACCAAGCCGAGTCCAGTTGGTTTGGCAAGCGATGCAAGAAGATAAATCTTTCCCAAGGACTGGTCTCCTATATGGTTCCCAGCTTTCTCAAGGTCTTTTCGGTAACTATTGTTTTTAATTAAAATAGTGTCCTAACCCATTTAGCGCGTACTAATTGCAGGAAGTAGATGCAATAGAGCGGATTGAGATCGATAACAGTCGCAAGCTTCTCTATGTCCTTACGGAAAAAGGTTCCATTGAAGCTTGGGATATCAGTACGGATTACACGAATGCTCGAAGACTGGGTCGGATAACCCAGAACGATATTACAAATCAAGCAGTTAGTCTGATCACGTGAGTACTAGTTTCCCAAAGAACTTAACTGCTATATGGACAATAACAATTATTTTTGCTTTAGGACTGTGGACCCGTCCATTTTTAAAAGTGTGAAAGCCATCTGCCCTCTGAGCGCGGACGATGCAGGCAAACTACATCTTGTGGCCGTTACCCAGTGCGGTGTGCGCCTCTTTTTCTCCACAACGTCGCTAAATGTGCAGCAGCAATTCGGTCCTACAGTTCCTTGCAGTCCAGGCGAGAATACAGGATTCGGTCAGTCAGCAATTCAGCCATCACTGTCGCCAGGTGACGAGGCTCCTAAGGGACTGTATCTGCTCCACGTGCGTCTACCGCCCGGCTACACCCCAAATGCCACCACCAACAAGCCAAAGCAGGTGCATGCTGCTCACTACACGGAAGGCACCATGTTGATGATCACAACGCAGCAGCAGGAGCAGGATCTGCTCTGGTCGGTCAGCTCGGCCCCATCGGTTAACTTTACTTACCTGGTGGAGTCGACGGCTCTGGAGAGCCTGGATGGAGTTGTCTGGGGATTGGCTGAGGTGCATGAACCGTCCACGCCTCTGCGGAAGTCTCCCTTAAACAAAGCCCGCCACTCCTGTAAAGTAGCTCTGCTTACCAACCAAGGCACACATATCATAGAGCTACTCAAAATGGTTGACGTGCTGCGACAGATCCTGCTGTCGTGCAATGGTCCGCACCACGAGGAGGTGAAGATGTTCTTCCAATCGCAGAATCAGCGGGAGGCGTGTGTCACGGCTCTCCTGCTGGCCACATCGGATAGTTATCGTGGCGGTGACCTTGCTTTGTGGGCCACCCAGGCGTTTATGCTGTACGGCGGAGAGCCGTGCTATCAGCACCAAAAGTTCCTGAACGCCAGTAACCGCAATCTGGCTAACCAAACTCTGGGCCAAAATACCACGAATGTAAGGGAGCGGCAACCAATGTTCATGTCCACGCCGATGCCGAATAGTGCGGCAAACAGTCCGGTTGGTTATCCGGGGTCGCAGTTCAATCAGCCCATCAGCCCAAGTGAGTCAAGTGAGACTGTACAGATTATGAAACTCTAAAACAATAAATGTATTTTCAGTTGGAAATATGCAGCCATCACAGGCGGTCAGTAATGAGAATTCACCAATCGTTTTCTCGGCCAAACACGACGGACTTTACATGTATGTCTCCCGCATGATGCGTTCTATTTGGCAAATGCGTTGTGTAAATGAGCACTTTTGCTCCAATCTGAGTCATAGCGATTGTGCCCTCTTGCTATCCGATCTGCGATCCTTGCGCAGCTTTCTGGAGGTGCATTCAGTGCACGACATTTCCTGTAAGTCGCACATCTTCATAACCAGTTGAAGTACTGTTTCCCTGTGCTTTGCAAATATACTTATCTATTAATACGTTTTCATTAAACACCATTGTTCCAGCATCTACACGAGTGTCATTTGACAACCATTTGGACAGAACCAATTCATACAACACCATCATGATGAGCAACACTCTACTGCCAATTCCTGAACAACGGATTTTATCCGAGCAGGCTCAAGTTGAGGAAAAACGTTCGCTCTCCGCCCTCAACCTCTTTGTCAGTAAGTAGCGATGTGATATTGAAGCTTAAAGCAACTAATCGACCACCTTCTTCTAGAACATGCCTGTGAGGTTATATCGCTGTGGAGCATACTTAACTCGCATTCCTTCCAGCTGATATGCTTGCAACTCAGTCCGGAACATCAGAAGATGTTGAAATGCTGCACCTTCCGGGATCTTCTCGTCACACGTTCCGAGGTCTGCGCATTCTTGATCATCTCACTGATCAATCTTTATCTTAAGGATAAGGCGGGTGTGTCCGAAGTGTCCATGAACTTGCGTGAGAACTGCCCCAACCTCTACCGGCACGAGGATGACGTGACCTACAAGGCCACCGAGCTGTTAATGAATGCAAGGAATTGCACTTCGGCCGCCGAAAAGGAGCGAAAGCTGCGAACCACCCTGCAAATGTGCAAGGAAGCTGCTCCCACATTGCCACTGCATAGTATTTGCCAGCAGTTCATATCAGCTGACTTCTTTGAGGGAGTGATCGAGCTTTCGGCTGTTTGTGCCTCAAAAAGTGATCCGGAGGAGGTTGGTGTACATTTCTATAACAATGGAGAGCCCGCCGAGGATCGTGAAGGTTACACTTGCTTTGCTACTAGGTAAACTCTAAAAGGGTATTTTTGTGGGAAAAACTAATTGTTTCGCTCCGTAGGATGGCCTACTACAAGGAACTGCAACTTATGCTGGACCATATCTATCAGACTGCCTGCAACAAGTCGCACACTCAGGATAAGTCGCCAAGCCAACTTAAAGGTACAGCCAAAGCCTCCGATGCCAAAAACGCTGCGAAACAAACGATTCCGAAAATAGTGGCCCAGACCCTGCAGGTGAAGGACCCGCTCTTCCATGTAACACTCTACGAGTGGCTGCTGGCCCACGACATGCTCAGTGAGCTTTTAGACGTGGTCGAGCCGTCATTGGGAGAGTTCTTGCGGCGCAGTGTGTCTCGAAACGGGGATAATGTTGTTCTCATCGATTTGCTGTGGAAGTACTACGAAAAGAATGGCCACCATTCCCAGGCAGCCCAGATACTGGACAATTTGGCTATGACACGCAGTGAGAACATAACTCTGGAGCAGCGCATTGAGTATTTGGTGCGTGCTGTTATGTGTATGCGAAATGGCAACGTTGGCTCCTCAATAACTAATGGCATATTCCTGAAAGAGCTGGAGGATAAGGTAGGTTAAGATGTGATGTGTTGGCCTATATTCACTGACATCATTTACAAATTCAGCTGGATATCGCACGCGTTCAAAAAGCAGTACTGGTCGCAATGACGGAGTTGGCTCGCGTGAAACTGGAGGCCGCTGCGGCTGTTAAGGAGCTTAACTATGCGTTGTATGACATAACTCAGCTTTACCAGCACTTTGCGGAGCCCTTCGATCTCTGGGAGTGCCAATTGTCCATACTGAACTGCTCGCATCACAACGACCCGCTTCTGATCGAGTCCGTTTGGGGCCACATTATCAATAGCGTTGTAGATGAGCCGGGCACAACTAGTGAGCGCAGCAATAGGTTGTTCACGAAGATCGAACTTTTGGTAAGGGAGTACGGCGAGTCTGGGGCTTGCTTTCCCTTCGCTTTTCTCATAAGGGAACTGGAGATTAAAGCCTGTCAACTGCGATTGCCCGAGGGAATAGTGCCGGAAAAACTGGTCACCATGAATTTGGACGTCGAACTGCTCCTGGAATACTATTCGAGGTACGTTTTGAGAGATGTGCGAGAGGTAAATCATTTCAAGGCTAAACTTTTAAAAACTCTTAGGATGATTTCAATGAACGAACGAGTGTGGGCCAACGAAGGCAATGAGTGGCATTTAATACAATCCGCCATACGAGTGGTCTCCCTCCTTGCAGACAACGCACAATCCATTTGGTACCGTTCAAAGTAAGTGCAGTGACTTAAAATGCAATCCGGTTCCTTATACTCACATTCATATTTGATTTACAGACGAAGAATTGTCGGCAAGGCTCAAGACATAGTGGCCGGCTGCCTGAACATTTGCTACCAAAAGCCCGACACTAATCGTCTTCAACACTCGCTCAAGGAACTTCAAAGTCGGTTGCAGCGGTTGCTGGTTTGAAGCCGGTTCCCTGCGTAGTTATTAATTTAAGTCAATTTTTGAAAATGCTGGACTAGACGTTAAGTTTGACTGAGATATATATTGTATTTGTATTAAACATGTTAAATAAAGTGATTTCCCAACAGTTCGTTGTTCGAATTCCGAGAAGATAGCATAACACTCATGAGGTGTCCATCATTTTTAGGTGAGCTTCCGTCAGAATGCACTTCGTCATATGGCAGGAGCAAGGCACTGGGTGCTCCTCTGTGTTGGGGTCCAGCAAATCCACCTCCAGATTATATTTACGCATATCGGCGGCACTGCGCTTCATTGTGATCTGAAACGCAATGGGTGATTTCTCCTCTAGATTTTCGCAGGATTCCTCGGGCAAGACGACGACACACTGTTTCCAATGCGTTGGTGTGGAGAGTGGGGATGTGCTTAAAATAAAATCTTCGCCAGGGAATCGTACATCGAACCAAATGCAGAAACCCTGGTGGTTGCCCGCCTTCTGGGCTGTTATCACCTCCTTAAACTGAATACTGTCCAAATCGCTGGCCTCCACATCCAGCAGATTCATCCAGTGAAAGACGACGCCCTCGTGGAGAAGGTCTTGTGGATTCAGATGTGTAATCTCCGGCCTGGATGACTTTTGTGTTCTCAATTTTCTGGCAAAAGTGTCCATTTTAATTCCGTCCACATTGTGCCAATCGTCGAAGAGCGATGGCACCGAGCAGGGTGCCACGAAAATGGTGCACTCGCTGGGGAACAGGAGTCCGCCCGCCTTGAGGAACCTGTCCCGGGCCAGGAGAACCGAGTCCAACATGCCCTCGTGTAGCAGGTAGAAGCCCATCCACTCGGATACTATGATGTCCACCTTTTCCGCCTCGGCAGGCAGTACGAATTCCTCAACACGGGATTGGATCACCTTCACCACGCTCGTCAGCCCATTTTCTTCAATCAGATCCAGAGCAACTTTGGTGGCCACATTGGATGCCTCCACAGCGTAGACCAAACGGGCCCCTGCCTTGGCACAAAAAGCGGAAAGAATGCCCGTGCCGGCACCAACATCCATTACGATTTTGTCCTTGAACAGATCCTTGTTCCCCAAAATCGCATTGTAGTAGGCTTCTTGCCGAGGACGATCCTTCAGCATGAGCTCGTGGATCTGTAGTTTTGTTGTAGTGAGTTCAGTTATAAAGCAGGTTCTACAATTTATTTACCTCCAAATTTTCATATTCATCGAAATAAGCATTCGCCATGACTCCAGGTTGCAGTTAAGAAAACATTAACGAATCTGGTGGATTTTTCAAAACAACGTGCTAAATAGAGCTGGGTTAATCCACTATGATAGTATCGATATACATATCGATGAATGCTTTGATTTGATCGTTGCGTTGTGATTAATATTTATTCAAAAGCTTAAATTGTGTTGTTTTTATAATTTTTGTGGTTAAAGACCAGCTAGAACCCATACTTTTATAATTGTTCTTGAAATACAAAGCGGATGTAAGACTTTTTTGGTAGATTTTTTGGTGCATTTTTGGCGACTTGTACTTCAGCTATTTTGCAGCACTAGAAGTCCGCCAGTTTTCCGACGCTGTGTAAAACCGCGCCATTTTCAGACCAGGATTCTGCAAGTAAGGTGAAGGAAGCACTGCACTTTGACCCAGTCGTATAGTAATTCAATCTGCGCCATATGCCATCAACCGATTTCGTCGACATCCCAGCTGCCAAGAAGATGAAGATCGACACGTGCGTCCTGCGATTCGCCAAGCTCACCGAAAATGCTTTGGAGCCGGTAAGGGGATCCGCCAAAGCGGCGGGCGTTGACTTGCGAAGCGCCTACGACCTGGTGGTGCCGGCACGAGGCAAGGCCGTCGTCAAGACCGACCTGCAAGTGCAGCTTCCGGAGGGCTCCTACGGACGGGTGGCCCCTCGGTCCGGGCTGGCCGTGAAGAACTTCATCGATGTGGGCGCCGGTGTGGTGGACGAGGATTATCGCGGCAATCTCGGCGTCGTCCTGTTCAATCACTCTAATGTAGATTTCGAGGTGAAGCACGGCGACCGCATCGCCCAGTTCATTTGCGAGCGCATCTTCTATCCGCAACTGGTGATGGTGGACAAGCTGGAGGACACCGAGCGCGGCGAGGCGGGATTCGGTTCCACCGGAGTCAAGGATCTGCCGGCAGCCAAGGCGCAGAACAGCAACGGAGAGAAGGCTGCCGAACCGGAGGGAGCTGCCCCCGCTCCTGTTGCTACGTAAACGAGAAACTATTGCCGCATTAAGCACATCGCTCATTGTCAAAGAGTTCCATTCTGTATCCTTAAGTGAAAAATGTTAACGTATGTGTATTTGTTTAATTAGATTGGCTGTTTGATGTTCACCATTTGCTGGATATAAAAGAAAGCATTGCATACTTTTGGATTCTAGATTTATGCATGCACAAATTCCTAGAAGCATGCTAAATTTCTGGATTAATAGATGTTGGTGTTAGGTAGCTGATAAACTGCTTATATCCTTACTTCTTTAATGGACGCAACTTATAAAGCCACTTTTGCATTGGGAAATTTGTATTTAGCTTGCATACTAAAAGGCCTATGCGGATGACCTTTAACCATCTACCAGTAATTGTAACTTATAATTTATTCTATCCCTGGGTAAAAAATCCAGCATAAGGCTAGTATATGCACAGCTGTAACTTGTGTTGCATATTTAAGTAGGCATGAAGGGCCGAGAAAGGTTAAGACTTGGTGCTAGCCATATTCTAGTAACTAGAAGTACTTGGTACAACAGGCAGATATGCATACCAACCATTCAGAGCTTCATAAAAAGGAGTTGTGCACAGAAGTCGAGCAATTATGTTTCTGCAAGAAAGAGCCGACTTGGCTTTATGGGCTTTCTAGAGGCTAGGGATACTTGAACCGGACAGGCGCGGCGCAGTGAGTTATGACCGAGTAATGAGAGCCAACCGGCGATGGCCCACAATATCAGTTCGCGTGTCTCAAGTGCATTGCTGCACAATTTACGCGGCCGATTTTAATAAATTCAATGACTCCAATTTGTAATTAGACGCTGGAAGGTGCGCTGCGTGCTTTTAATTGTTTTGCAGCCATCCTTGGTTGCCTTTTGGCGCAACGGTTCCGCTTGACCCGCGACGCATCGAGCGCTCCGGAGGTCAGCCGCGTGCCCATAACGCCCCAGTTGGAGGCGTCCGCCGCCCACCGATCTGCACTGTGCCACATCCAACCGTGCAACTTGCAGCGAGAGTCGCTTTTGTGTTTGTATGATAACTGGTATAATTTATTTGCTTCAGCTTGTGAAAAATAGCTATAGTTCATTAAATGTATAAAGTAAATCAAGTTCATTCTCATGCCTATTCTGTTTCTTTAAGTTCACCATTGCAAACGACCTAGGTGTTAGAAGATGCTTTTGTGTGTCTCTTTCTAAATGACTTACAACTAATTAAATAAACAATATGTACAATGGAGCTATAAAATACGCATTCTATTTGCTTGTTTCGTGGTGTTTTTTTTTTTAAATCTTTTTTCATTTGTGTATGGTGTGTTTGTGTGTGTTTCAAGTCTTGGAGCTCTTAAAAGGATGCATAGTTCTAAAAGTTGAATTTCGAATTCCTCTGTGCATGGCCGCAGAAAAAGTAAACATAAATTAATAAAATTTGAACAAAGCAATGGGGGGGTTCAACAATTCTGCCGTATCGTAGGATATATATGTTAAAATAAATAGCCTTTACTTCGATTTGCAAAACAATAAAATTAAATTTTTAAGTTTGCTTCACATTTTGCGGAATTCTATTAAATATAAATTTACTGACTAGCAGTTAAAAACGAAAAAAGTCATAGAAATAAATAAAATCAATGCAAATATGCGCTTTGCACTTAAGTACGTAAACGAAAACTCTCTCATTAAATTGACTAATAAATTGATTAATGTTATACAAATATGATTTGTGTGTGTGTGTGTGTGTGTGTGTGCCTGTGCAAATGGAAGACTTTGCGATTATTGTTGCTTCTCACTTAAAGTTTACAACTTTAGCTAGCCATTAAATTACATAGTTATGGTTTAATTTATACAGTAGGTATTCTCTCCCAATCCGACTTGCCAGTCTGTCTGTCTGCCTGTCTATTTGTTATTTTCTTATTCTTCTCTTAATTGTTGAAAGCTCATTTGGTACAGCATTTAGCAGGTGAAATGCAATTTAGTTAGCATAAATACGTAAGTGGACCGCCGATAACTAGCTGGCGTCCTGCAGTCCGCTGCACGGCAACACTGGCAGCAACATGTTGCTGCTGGGCGAGCTGGCTGCAGCCGCCGGCGGAGCTGCAACATCGCTGCCCTGGTTGCTGCTGCTGCTGCTGCTGCTACCGTTGCTGCCGCCGTTGAAGATCTCCGACTTGATGCTGCAACTAGTTGTGGCCGATGTGGCTCCCGCTGCCGCTCCCGTTCCTTGTGCTGCTGCTGCTGCTGCTGCCCCACCCGTTTGCAGTGCCAGCATTTGTTGCGCCTGCGCAACGCATGCAACACACGGACACGGCCCGCCCAATTTCTTCGCCAATATGGAGCGCAGCTTGAGAGCCGGCCCCAGCTTCATGCCCAGCGAGTTAACCAGGTGATCCTCGGTTAAGAGCGGCAGGCCAGTGCCATCGATGGACTGATCACGAAACGACTGCAACGAGAAGAGAGCCAAAGAGAAGAATTAGTGGGGTGTCTTCGGAAGAGTCGGCAGATTTATGGTGGCCATGGCCAGTTGCATAGTGGTTTGTGGTTTGCAAAATAGGTTGTATAATTTACTTGCTTTTGGAAATTACTTGCATATTAGTTTTTATAACCGCTGCATCGTTTATAACATATTAAGCTACTTAAAAGATACTAAAATAAATGAACGACTACATCAGCTGAATATCAGCTAGCGGCTATCATATGACTTTCCTATACTGATGTATGCTTATTTAGGAACCAACTTCATCCTCCTGGTCCACTGTGCTACTCAGTAAGTCGTGGGCACAGGGCATCTACAGGATGCATTCTGTTCTCTGTGTGTGTGTGTCTGTGAACTTGTGATTAATGCGCGGCTTTTAAAATTGTTAATGAAAAACGATTTTAGCCAAAGCTGCCTGACTTGGCTGCCGCACTCGCTGCAGTAGCATTTTCATATTTGCAACGCACGATCGATCGAAAGTGGGCAGAGAGTGGGCACCCCATTATCCCCTCGTCCCGCTCCTCCTCAATCTCCTCCTGCTTCTCCGCCACCTTCTCCAAGCTGATCCCCACTGACACGCCCCCTGCTGCTGCTGATGCTGTTCCCGCTGCAAACTCCCCTTTGGGCAAACGAAGCTCGCGCCACATGAGATTTCTATTATAGATTGGCCCTGATTGAATTCCACGTAGCTCTCTTCAACAGGGGGCCAACCTGTTTCCGCGGCAGCTGCTGCTGCTGCTGCTGCCGCTGCACTGCAGCAACATGGACCAACAACTGCCACTGTTTTTCTGCTCCACAGCATATGCCCCCTTGCTGCTGCACCGCTTTGGACACGCCTTTATCGGACTGCCCCTTTTTAATGGGCGAGAGCAGCCACGGCTACAGTGCAATCGATTCGATTCCGGGCAACGGCGGTCATCTCTATATATAAGGGAGGGTCGGACAGCCCGGGCAGCTCAGCGTTGCAGCGATGTGGCGGATGCGGATGCGGCTACTCACTGGCTACCTGGTCCTGCTGGCCCTCGGCCATCTGTCGGAGCATGGCGCTCTGGGCCAGAAGTACTACATGAACTTTGCCTTCAACAACAATAATCCGGATGGAGAAGGAGGCGCAGGCACCGACGGAGGCGCTGCTGGCGGTGGTGCCGCTGGGGCCGGTGGTGGACCCAATGACTCGCATCATTCACAAGAGGGTGACGGTAGTGCGGCGACTGATAACCCCAATGACGGCCACGCTACATCTGATAATAGTATGGATTCTGATAGCGATGGCAGTGGTAAGAAAGAAACAGGAGCTGGCAGTGCAAGCGATGGCAAGAGCGATTCCAAAGACTCGAGCGGGGACAATGCTGCCACGCCACCGAATGGCCATGACGATGACAACGATGACAGCGACAGCAAGGATGCCAAGGATCGGCGTTCGAAGGAGGGTTCGGGACAGGAGCAGAAGCGCAAAGATCACAGCCACCACAGCAGCTACGAGATCAGCATCGACGACAGCTTTGGCGGGCGGTACGTGCGGTCCATTTACGAGAGCAGCGAGAGCCACGGACACTCCGGCAGCAATGCCGGCTCCAATCAGCGGGACAGCGGAGCCCGCGACAGCAGTCAGGAGACCCCGGCCGCCAATGAAGTGGCCAGCGAAGCCCCTGCTCCACGGGCGGCTCTCGCTGGCAACGTGCCGGATGGGCCCGAAACTGCAGCCAAGGAGGATGACTACGAGGAAATGTAACACCACCGGGAGATCTGAGCGTAAGTCCTTGGTCGTGGGAAAAACGATTCAAGCTAACTTCATGTTTATCCTTTCCCTGCAGTCAGGTTCGCTCGAGGAACTTTGCAAGGACGCAGCCACTTCAATTGATTTTTAATTAAAATGACAATAAAATTTAAATACCAAGACTACTTTTTTAATGAGTTGCAAGTGGAATAGTGGGGATTTGGAATCGACTTTTAGCTCTTTAAGCGTCAAATTTATACAGTCTGGAACTGAATTGAATGCACTTCCACATTGAATGGCTTAAAGTAGCTTTTAACAAGCTGCTGTATCTTAGGGCCTACTCAAATGCGTTCTTATATGAAAGACGTTTCTGGTCAAACGACATCAAGATCTTTAGACCTGTTTACACAGCTTCACAGGATCCGTTCAGAATAAAATGTAATTGCCGTTTAAAAATCCGAGATATAAATATAAAATAATTGGATATAGAATTTTAATGCTTTCATTTAAATAGTATACTAATATACTTCAGAACTGTGACATCTATTAAAGGTGCCACCGGCAAAGTATCCAAGTTGTGTGCGTCGAATCAAATCAGTCAACACATTAAAAATCAGTATCTTTTCTAAATTATTTAACAAGGTTAGTCACGAGTCAACGGAGCGAGGGTATATAGGGAACCCAGCTACCATATAGGAACCCTCATTTCGGTTCCGGCGAAGCTGAAGAGTGTAGCTATGCTGAGATCCTGCCTGTGGACAACTCTACCGTGGATTGTCCTGGGGCAAACCTACTATATGAGCTTTATTTTCAACAACTACGGCTCCTCTAGAATAAGTGCGCCTCAACTGGGTTTCAATGGATCAGCAAAGGAGCCCATTGAGGGGGCCAATCTGAAGACCAGCTCGGAAGAACATTCAGGCGAGGGAGAAACGCTGGAGGTCAGCTCGTTGGAGCATTCGAGGGAGTCCAAACGTAACTCAAAGAAGTACAAGGGAATGGAAACACTTGAGTTGAGTTCAGAGGATCAATCGCGGAAGAAGAGCGAAACCAAGAAACCAAAGAAACCAAACGTAGGAGACAAGGGCTCAGGTGATTCGGGTGAGACGATGATCTGGTCCACTACGCCAAAGACAAAATCTACCACAACGAGGAAAACAAAGGCCACAACAAGTGAAACTCCCGAAATGCCCACCGAAATCACCACGGAATCCACAAAAGCCACGGCAGTCGACGAAGAAAAGTCAACTGGCGAAACGAACACGGAAAACCCCAAGGAAACTTTAACAGTTCAACCGGAAATCGGAAAAGAAGAACCGGTTTCGGACATACCAAGTAATACCTTCAGAAGCTGGGAGCCCGTAACACCCCACTCCCCCGAATTCTTCGATTACCCAGAGGCCACGTGCAGTGAGGACATGGATCTGCACGAGGTATTTGGCATTAGGCTCGAACGGGATCGCGGTTTGCCCACCAAGATCCTGTGCAGCTTCAGAAACAGCTGGGGAGGTCCTTGGCTGCTGATGACGCGGATAGAGCTCCCAGTTCGTATTCACATGCGTCACTGGTTCTTGGGCTATCTAACGCCGGACTACAAGGATATGAACATCAATTTTTTGGCCCTGGCCCACATCATGAACTCCATGCGCACAGCCATGCTGATCATTGGCCAGGATAAGAACGACAAGTTGGTTTATAATCTGTACGACGATGTGGTCATTTCGGCATTCAATGATCTGTTCATGTTGCGAAAAGCCGAACTGGTGGAGGCCAATACGACGGAGCTGCTCTTTGTGTCCGTGGGCAAGGTATTGAGTTCGTATGCGGGCCGGAATCGCTCGTGTCCTTTGCAGGTCCTTGGCAGCTGGTGGGGCTACCATTCGGTGCAGGATATGTACCAGGGCTTCCAATGGTGAGGCTTAGAGTCCTTGACTCACTAATAACTTGTAAGTAAGTCATATAAGTCCTATTTTCCAGTGTCTTCCCCAAGGGGCGCAGCATATCCAAGCCCGGCTATGTGGCTATCTTCATTAAACCCAGCCTATTCCCGGCGAATCACACGGCTCTGTACAACCAGCCCATATCGACACGACGTCCCTGGTCCAACAACTATAATACTAAGATATTGAACGGAACAGCGAACAATTCGAAGTCATATAAAAAGGAACAAAAAGTGGAATGGGAACGCAACAAGATGGCTGTGCAAAAGGAGCTGGACCGTCGAGCCAGGATCTTCGAAGCTATTGAGCGGCTGAGAGTGGAGGAGGCCCAGCGGCACAGGGGGAGGTAGCATAGGCAGGGGGTCTGGTCATAGGGTCATAAGCCAGGCAGGGATCACCGCCATTACTCAAGAGAGAAAAAGTGTATACAATTCGGTAATGATTAAGCACTACTCATTAGATTAAGCTTATAAATACAAGTTAAAGTTGTGTGTTTGTTTTTAGTGACAGAACTTGAATAACCTTCTCTGACCTTCTCGGTTCAATTACCCACACATTTCCATCCGTATCCCTTTCCCACACAGCGCTGGTCAAAAGGTAAAGAAGAAATCTAAACGAGCTAAAAACGAGGCAAAGACCGAGTTCCAACCGGAAATTGGTGGCTTTTACTCTTGGACTCTGTCATAATTTTGCTCGGACAACGTATAGCCACATAAAAAGGGGGGGGAATCGGGAGGTGCAGGGGCTTTGATTTGGGTGGCTCTGTGGTCATGGTTATGGCTGGCCAAGTGCATTCTAAATTCTGTGCCAATAATTGACAGAGCCAACAATAGCAGCAACAACAAGTTGGCATTAACTAGAGCCCAGGAAATGGCCAGAAAGCCAGCAAAAAGATCACAACTTGGTCATAACAATACGGGCCAAAAACAGATTTGAATTGTGGGTCTCTCAGGCGCTCGGCTCTTGACTTTGAACTCCTTTGGAAAGAAAAACAGCAAAGACTAAGGGGCCGAGGCCATCTGGAGATCCATACACGCAATGTAATTGGACTCCAGGTCTCTGGTCTCCATTCTGTTGCAGGCAATTTAAGACAACACGGGCCAGGAGGGAAATGGGTGGAAAATATGGAAATATGCAAATCATTTGGCTGCATCAAACAAAAGACTTTGTTAGCGTTAGAAGACCTAGTTTAGTCTCACTTTTTGTTGGCCAAACACTAAGCGGTAATATAAATGAATGCAAAAATAGAATTCTGATCTTTAGTAGCTCGAATAGCTTTCGCAGCTCGTATCTATTTGGCAGACACAAAAGATCCAAGCCAATTGATTGAATATTTACATACATAAGTCCAGGAATTAGCCAGTATTTGCCATGAAATCAAATAGTTCACTTGAGATACGCATCTTACGACTCCACACAAAACCCAAGCCGAAATCAAAATCAAATTCTTGGTCTTCAATCCAATTAAACTTTATAGTTCAAGTTTGGCGTTTTGCTGGACTGCGGTTTTCTGTCTCGAAAGGGAGGCGTTGGTGACCCATGCTGACCATGGATAGATGGGAAGATATCAATGAATGTCCGAGATCAATTTGCATACGTAGCCGAATGATTCGTCAAAAGTTCGCGTCGTTTTGATTTTAGAGTCTAGCCCAAGCCAAAGAACTCGTAAATATTTTCTCGTTTTATACGACTTCAGTTTTGGCTCGGCCCCTTCTTTCTTTAATAGAGCAATAAAGTTCAGGCCCAATAAAGTTATTTTGTTGCGCAATATTTACATAGAATTCAAGTGGGTTTCAATCATAAAGTAGGCACATAAAATTGGTTCTTGTTTTGCTTAAAATATTCGGTTAGGAAAGAGATATCAGGTATACGTTATGCTAGAGAAGGACTATTGGATGCGTGTGATGATCGAGGTGAAGCTTATTTCTATTATTATATTCTATTTATTGGATTAGGACTTTTAAATAAGCAAGAGAAGAACAATTAATTGAAACGGGGAAGTCAATTAATATTGATTGTAATAATTGGGTACTTTTAAGCTTTCGCGTTCTTAACGATATTCCAGTCACGCACCCATCTCCAATATGCATATAAATGGAGCCAAATTGAATGAACGAGCATCTTGGGATAATCTCAAGCTCTGGAATTCTGTTGGTTGCAAAATAAATTAATAGCAGGGTCAGCGTCTGGCGCGTCAAATGTGAAACGTGCCAGGTCTTCATCCGCGTCCTCCATCTCCATCTCCAATCCGCAAGCTCCTTCAGCTTAGCCCAAAAAGTAAAGCCCCGAAAAACCCGAGTCCCGAGTCCCGAATCCGACGACTTCTTGCCCAAAAGACACATCACACTAATAAGCAGCTACAAAAGTGCTTCTGGCTGCTTCTGGTCACCCAGCGGACGCTCTTTTCCCCCCAGCTCCCATTTTTTCACTGCCCGCCAAATACATTTTAATTTGAAGAGCCGACAGTGCAGCGCAAAAATGAATTCTACCCCGGGTTGAAAGGGGCCTTCTGCGCTGCCCAATTGTATTTCTGGGCTCAATTTAGTTGTACGGATTTTGACCTGCTTAACCCTAAAGCCAGCTATCCAGCCAGCCAGCCAGCCAGCCAGTCAGCCATCCAAACAACCAATGGTGGGCAGGTGGTGGGGCAGCTGGGGAAGGAAGGAGGATGATGACCACGAGGGGAGGGGATGACAAGAAGCGAAGACAACAATTTGAATTCTAAATTGAACAGCTTTTTGTGCTACCTATGCCCGGGAGCTCGCCCAGCCGCCAGTTGAGTGGAGCGCTGATCGCAGAACGTGGGCCGACCTGCTGCCAACTTGCAGAGGTTGAAGCTGTTGTTTCTTTGGCTTTTGCTGCGGCTTTGCCAGAAATCCAAAGTCGGGGCTTCCGCTGGGGAAAGGGGGCTGAAACTGAGGCTGAGCCCCACCGTCAATTGCGCCCAACTACCTACTCATTGTAATTCTTCATGTCTGGCCACGTCCCCGGCTGGTCCGGGCCGGGCCAAAAGCAAAAGCGTACCGAAAGAGCTGGCCGAGAATCAGAGTCGGTCCAGAAACGGCGACCTGATTGCCGGCAGTGCCAGCAAGTACCCAGTTCCAGTTGCCCATCAGCAACCTTTGGCTCAGTTCGCTCGTATCGGTGGCTGCCCGCCTCAAGCGAACGAAAGAAGTGACATTGCAAAGGGGTGTGCTGGACTAGGAGATACCGCTTATATTTAATTTGACATTTTGCCTGCGGAGTCTTAGCTTTTTGGATCCTTAAATTGCTTACTATAAGTGTATTTTTGTATAGCCCATTACGATCTCTAGTTACTATTTTCGTTTTTTCTGACCTTAGCTAAAATACATATTGATAGCAGAAAGATAAAAATAGTAACAAACGTTTTTTAGTAGAGCTCACATCATAAATGAATGGATATACAATTAAATAAAATTGGTTTTTTAATGTGAACCTAACAGACGCTTCAGTTAAGTGGCTCTGTAATTTAAGCACCTATAAATCTGATCATAAATTGTATTACTAACTTCTTGTTGGCCTTACAGGGTATCGGAAAGTTGACTTGTGGCCTCAGCAGCGCGGCTACACTTCACTTGTGTCTTTGGCTTTGATTTTGGTACCGAGTATTTAATGATATTTTACTCTTTTTTATTCAGACCAGCAAACCAACAATTACGCTTAATGCCAAACATCCTCTGCCAGCCAACTGTTTGGCTGCCCCAGCTCCAACTACCGAGTTCCAACTACCGAGTTCCAACTTCAAACCTCCAGTTCCGAGCTCCCGAGTGCGGTGGCTGCGGTTTGATCTTGTTACGCATTCGAGGCACTCGCTCTCGACTACTAGGTGGCCCCGGTCTTTGGTTTGGGATCTGGAATCTGTATTCTGTATTCTGGGATCTGGATCTGCAATCTGAGGTAGCATTTGATTGGCATGTAGAGCAGAACAGCTCGACTAGCTATCTTTTTTAACAGATAGCTGGTCATCGGAGATTGGTGAAGGGCAGATGATAAAAGCCGCGCTTTCCACTTTCCACCGAAAGTGTTGGAAATTGGCAGTCTAGGCCAGTCATCCTCTGATTGATTTGCCTGCTAACAATTCATCATCGATCGAAAAGAACTGTATTCTATATCAATCACCAAACTGTTTCAGCAGCAACGGCAAACCAAATTGCCCACTTATTATTTAAATAATTTAATAAATTATTGAACAACCGCCCCCAGGCCGAGTAATGAACTCGGGCTCTGGCCCTCGACTTAGACAGATGTAATAAATAATCTTTATTTTTATTTCACAGCTACTGCCGCTGGCGAACCAAGGAAGCGAACGGGACAGTGGGCAGATGTGAAAATTGCTGATAAATCCATGGATAAGATTGGTTTCTGGCTAGGCTGGACTTTCAGGCTACTTGATTGGTAAAATGAACACTTTAATGGTTTGTTAAGATATGAAAACGGCTATTTCAAATTAAATAAATAAGAAAAAACATGTTTTGTCAGACCTTGTCCCACTGTGCACAATGGGCCAGCACAGATATTACATCGGAAGGTCAAAATATTAGCAAATTTAATGTGACCCGCTCGCCGAACAAAGCCTTTGGGGAACCAACAGAAATACAGAGGGCCAGCCAATCCAATGCGATCCATCGGGCGCTTTGGGAAGTCAGGAGAAGGATTGCAGGTCCGCCAGAGATGGGGCTGTTAATTTCGCTGCATAGAGCGGTGGGCACATAATCAGTTTATTTGGTTGCATTGCTTTTCCTTGGGCTCCGCAGCAGCAGCAGCAGCAGGAGCAGGAGCCGCAGCAAGAAGAAGAAGCCAAAAGTGCCCCGGGTTACACGCCAAAGATACAATTTTAGATTATATGGCCAACTGCGCGCATGCGCATAATAATAATGCATGCAACAAGCAGAGACGACGACGACGACGACGCCGACGCCGACGACGATGGCGATGGCGACGAGTAGCCAATTGCTGGCGAGGCTCAGGCAACTCCAAACCACTCCACTGCAAGCCGCTCATGACCAAAAGCCAGGTCGTCTTTAGGTTGGCTTCCTGTAGGGGCACAAAAAAGGCGTGCAAGTGGGTATAATCATCATCAGCTTTGATAACACACCACGAGCGACGTTGGCTGCAACGACCTGCCTGGTCCGAGGTTTTGAAGACCCGAGACCCGGGACCCCAGACCCCAGACCCCAGACCCCAGACCCAGACCCCAAACACCAGACCCACAGACCCGGCATGATCTGCTGCTTGGCATTTGACTTTCGGGCCGACATCTCTGCTGCTTTGTTTCTTGGTTGTTTTTCAGTTTGGTGTGCTTGGGTTCGGGTGCTTCCAGTCATGCGCTGGCTTCAGCTGCGAGTC